GCCCAACTACATCTTATAAAAAGGACTAAGCGGTCGCTACAAATATATAATCCGGTTCAGTTCGGAGTCGAATCCCACAGGGAACTAACCTATTTACTACAACTTTTAACACTGCTAATGAATAGCTCAAACAATCCCCGGATTCAATATTTTTAATGGATAATTAGTAGAATTTAGTGAACTAATGAAAAACAATAATAAAACTAGCAATAATCAAGAATAGAGTTGAATTCAATGGTAGAATGGTCTAGAGTTATTGATTTCCCCAATTGTCGGATTAATTCCTGACACATTCGCTATAATCTCGTCGTAATACTCTATAAGAACATGAGTTCTAGGTTATAGCAATTATCTCTCGATCAATTACGATAATTTACTAGCAACATTCTCTTGAACAACTTTAGTTGCCAATTTATGCAAATCAGAATTATCCCACCAAAGCTTCGTTATCTCTAACCCCGCTTTTAAATTCAAGTAATTAATCTCTTAACTTACCCGAAAGCGGTGTTGTTCAACAACAATCTAACTTAGTATTCTTTCTTAAGCAACACAAGGTAACTAGACACGATTAATCAAGGGCTCTTTCAATTAATCACAGGACAACACATAGTTGAGCAATTATAGAATAAGGAACGACTTATTTATATCAAAACATAATCAAGACTTCATCCAATAATTGGTTCCATCAACCCTAGATTAAATGTTTATCTACTCATGGTAAAACAGGATAAAGCCTTAAGATAATTTATAATTCACAAAATAATGATAACAGGAAGAAGAATGAAAAACTCTAATGATGTCTTGATCTTCTCACACTTGTTCTTTCCTCCAATTGAGTCTAAAAACAAGCTTAACCTTGACTTGGGCGAGTTTGTTGAGTTTATATAGGGTTAGGATAAGTTTTCCGTGCTTTACACTTTAGCCCCTAGACTTTCTCGGCCTTTTCCAGATCGATCGCTGTCGCGGACCAACTGCGGTCAGACTGCGGTTGTTTTAGACTATTTTGTTTTGCGCCTTTTTCCACCGCGTTCCAGCCGCAGTCGTGGTGGACTGTTGCCCAGGTTTTCTTCGTCTTTTCTTGCTCGTTTTCATCCGGGCTCTTCTCGATTGGTCTTGTATCTACATATTTGACCCCAAAACACTCTATATCCCCCTCCTAACTTGGAGTAGCTCCTGCAAAGCATAAAAACCTCAATTAGAGCATTTTATTATCATTTAGCACTTAAAACATCAATAAAATATGGTTAACTTAGAGAAACAATAGCATCTACATTGCATAAGATAGGCTACTATCAACACCCCACACTTAAATCATTGCTAGTCCTCTAGCAACAAAACCATACTTTATAGGCCTAATCATCTCTAGGTCACTTCCTTACTCCTTATACCAAGAATAATTCACATGGGTAGACTACCTTAGCGTAACATCCTAACCTTAAGAGTGGACTCTCTTTCTAGCCACGTAATGTCCCTAACCGGCTTTCATACTCTCAGTCAGAGGTCCAGACTTACCTTCCTTTCATGAATCACGTGCCTACTCACCACAAAAGAGGCTTGTGTCATGGTCATTATAACTCACACACTGAGGAGTTCAAATATGTAAGATTTCACTCACCCTCAGAAATAAATTCTTAGGCCACAAACAACGCACCATAGGCTTTCCCGTAGTGTAATAATAGACTAATCAAGCCCATTTGGTCTAGAATCAAGTAGGACTTTATTTGGTTGTAATGTTGGTTGTGGGACAGGTAGGATACATATGGGTATAGTGACTACACCTCCCTAAGCACTTCAATACATTTTCCACTTTTAAGTCCATACCTTTGTCAAACCTTCATTCCACCTTTACATCATTGAGTTAAACCTCCTACCTCTTTAAGCACACTTTCTCTTTTAAAAGCCACCACCATTTTGAGACTTATTCTTTTAAAAATTATTCAGCTCAGTCTCTTTTTTTTCTTTTTTTTATGACTGTCTTCTTAGTTCCACTCAAAAGCCCAACCAACCACCCCACACTTTAACTTTTCCATATTTATTACAATTCAAGTGCTTCTAAGAGGTGATAGGGTTAAAAATAGACAATTCAAAACTTGGGTAAGGCTTGTAATATGGTTGCCAAAGAAACATGATTACAGGCTCAAATGGGTTAACTAGGATATATACAATTAGGTGGTTGAAAACATATATAGATAGGTTCAACAAGAAAACGCCTATATCACTTTCCAGACCAATTAAGACTACCATTTCGCTTCGTATACACACAGAGCAAGTTCTAGGCATTGAGTGTTAGCATAGAATACACAAAGCCTCACTCACACATGGAACATGACTCAATTCAGTTAGGACCATCAGACACTCTGCTCAAGGTGCTTAAGCCAACTCATGAACACACAATTTAAGGCTTTATTGTTAGAGTCAACTAATGAGCCTAAGTGTCATACTAAAGCAATCTCTATTCAAGGTACCATGGAGTTAAGGGTTCCTATTTCTATTCTTTCCTCGCCCAAAAATTTCTAAACTTAAAAAAAAAACTAACTACACCCAGTTCAAATGGAAACCCTTGAAAAAGAACCGTGGTTTAAAGAAAAATCAAAGGGGAGTTGATACACTACCTAACAGAAAAAATCTTTTTTTTTGTTCGACTTAAGTCCCTCAAGAGACCCGTCGAGAGGTGTCTGTCTTCGAGCCAAGTCGAAGTTAATTAACAGCAACCAAAAATACCAAACAAATCTATACAATTGTAAAACAACAACAACCGTCCCCCACCCGACACTTAAAGATTTGGCATGTCCCCATGTCAAAGAATTTAAAATAGAGTAAGGTAAGGGGACTTCCCGGGTGCTTAGTCATGATCGGAGACGGTGCCAGGATCGAGGTGACACACTCGTCCTAGCACCCGGAGCTAGCCCATGATCTTTTTCTCTAACCTAGCACTTTGAGTGGCCAAAGTGTCAACTCTAGCACTCAGGTCATTGACGGAAGTGCGTAGGCCAGCCATCTCCTGTTCCAAGGTTGTCATCCAGGTACTCCGACGGGCCTGTGATGGGCCCGCCTCATTAGCAATCTACACCGGTGGGGCGGCAGCATGCATAGCTCCCTCATCATCATCGACATCATCATCATCTGCCACATCCTGCTCTTTCCCAACTATGATTTTGCTAGCCTTGATGGAGCTTTTAACGGCAACTTCCCATCTACTATGGGATTTTGGGGAACTCATGAAGCACGACACAACTTGGTGACCAAGGAAGGGAAGTAGAACCCTTTGCTTGTATCCGTGGAGAGAATGAACATTTCATCCTAAATGAGCTAGGCCACGTCAAAATCGTGGTGATTTACAAGATACCAAATCGTCGTTGCTCTTGGCGCATTAACATCTATAGTGTTGCTGGATGGCAGCAAACGACTGTTGATTATTGTTAGCCAACACTTAGCTTCCCAAGTGAGAGATTGGGAGTTCAGGGTCATTCTCAACTTTATCCATATTGGATCCCGGCCAGCCACACAGATTGTTTGAACAATTGGTTGCCACCAAACAGGTGGGCGCTGATAATCTTGGTAATAATCTGTCTCTCTAGTGAAGACCGACAACCTACACTCGGCGGATGGCCTCAAGAGAAACATTCACCGGGGTATTTCGTACCGCGACAACCCTATCAACATAGTTCGGGCAATTCGCATCATTACATTGCCCTCTTCCGGATCAGTAAAGAAGATGTCCAGCTGATGCCTCCTCAATTCTTCGTAGATACTTAGGCATTCAATTCTTGGATGTCTTTGCATTAAATCTATCTTGAGACGCTTTGGAGACAAACCGAGTGCGGTCAAACTGGCTCGAACTAGCCTGAGCTCGAGCTCTGGATGAACCTCCTAGCCCACTAGTAGAGGAACCTGTGGCACGTCTTTTCCTTGATTGATGCATTGTACCTGACAAAACAAGGGCTACTATTAGTGAGGGGTTGATTTGTGTGTACTCTGGGTGGTTACTCAGACTTCACCACCACCACGGTCACATTAGCCATTACAGCTCAATGGGGCAATTTCACAAGCACCTAGTGTGGATGGAACTATGACTTAACACACTTATCCCATGGAAGTACAAACTCTCCCCTCAAATCAACCACAATCACTTCACAAACTCCACGCCACCACAATCAACTTCACACAACAACACCATGCTTTTATCTACTATATTCTACACATTACCCACTAAAAAGAAGAAAAGAAAACCAACATTTTTTACTATAGATACTATAACAAATCTAACATTAAAATTACAAAAGAGAAGGGGAGAAGAAGAGAGAATGAAATCATGACATACCTGAAACTTGTAGAGTTGTAGTGTAATGGAGGTTGGGGAGGAGGGAAGTCGGAAGTGGGAATATGTGTGTGAGAGAAAAAAAAGGGGTTTGTGAGAGATAGGAAGAAGAAGAAGAAGAAGAAGAGGCGTAGGGGTTAAAAAGTTAGAGTAAGAAGGGGAATGGGGGAAGTGAGGGGGCGTGTGGGGTGTTGGTTTAGTTTTATGGGTTTAGAAGAGAAAAAGAAATAAAATAAAATAATTTTTTTTTAATTACAACTTACCTGGGCGGGCAGAATGGTCGTGATTCATCACGCCCGGTCCGCGTCCCGACCGTGATCATGGTGAAAAAATAAAAACAAAATAGTGGCCTCGTAAACTACCGCGCTCAGTCCGCGTCCCTACCGCGGTCGCAGTGGCCTAGAAATAGAATGTTCCTAAACTGCTGCGCCTGGGCCGCAGTCCCAATATGCACCAATCCTGCCCTGTACACTAATAAAAGGGTTAGTATTATACACATCAAGTACAACATCAAAATAAAAAGAGAAACAAAAGAAAACATGGGTTGCATCCCGCGCAGCGCCTGATTTAATGTCGCGGCATAACGTAGGCTTTTATCATCACTCCTCATTCGCATACTGGGGCTCTTCCAAAGTTATTACCACTCTATCCCCTTTTTCTTCGGCCATGCCAAGGTAATGTTTTAGCCTTTGCCATTCACCGTGAACTTAGTTGTCCCATCTTCCGATTCAATCTCCACAACTCCACTTAAGAACATTTGCACTATTCTGAAGGGTCCTGACGATCGGGACTTCAACTTACCCGGAAACAATCTCAATCTCAAGTTGTATAACAACACTAGATCTCCGGATTTGATGTTCTGATCCAAGATGTTCTTATCATGCATTAGTTTCATCCTTTCCTTGTATGGTCTAGCACTTTCAAATGCCTGGAACTTGAATTCCTCGAGCTCATGTAACCCAGTGATTCTGCTGGTGCCTGCGGTCTCCATATCCAAATTCAACTGTCGCAATACCCAAGTGCTTTATGTTCGAGCTCTACCAGAAGGTGGCATGCCTTTCCAAGCACCAACTTGTACGGTGACATACCAATTGGAGTTTTGAATGTTGTGCGGTACGCCCATAATGCACCATCCAGCTTCTTCGCCCAATCGGTCCTTGTTGCATTCACTGTTTTTATAAAGACACTTTTAATCTCCCTATTTGACACTTCAACTTGCCCGCTCGACTGTGGCTGATAAGGCGAGGCTACTTTGTGGCGAACTCCATACTTTTCCAATAGGCGTGCGAATGCTCTATTACAAAAATGGGTTCCATCATCACTGATTATAGCTCTTGGGGTACCAAAACGTGTGAAGATGTTTTTCTTTAGGAAACTTGTCACCCCTTTTGCATCATTGGTCGGGAGAGCCACCGCTTCGACCCACTTGGAGACATAGTCAACCGTTACTAATATATATTTATTACCGTACGAGATGATGAACGGCCCCATAAAGTCGATCCCCCACATGTCAAAAACCTCCACCTCTTGAATTGTAGTCATTGGCATCTCGTGACGACAAGAAATGTTGTCTATCCTTTGGCATTCATCGCAACCTCTGACCCAAGCTTGGGCATCCTTGAAGAGAGTTAGCCAATACAAACCTAATTCCAACACCTTAGCTGCTGTCCGAATTCCTCCAAGGTGTCCACCATATGGTGAAGCATGGCAAGCCTGCAAAACAGAATGTTGATCTTTCTCGGGGATACACCTCTGGATCATGTTATCTACATATATTTTAAACAGTAGAGGTTCATCCCAATAATAATACCAACGATCGCGAAAGAACTTTTTCTTTTGAATTGAAAAGAGTACATAAGGTACAATACCGCTTGCTAAATAATTAGCAATATCAGCATACCATGGCGCCTCCTCCATTGTCATAGCAAGTAACTGTTCATCCGGGAATGAGTCTATGATATCTTCAACCTCCATTATCTTTTCTGCTCCTTCCAACCTCGAGAGGTGGTCTACCACTTGATTGTACATCCCCTTTCTGTCCCGAATTTCTAGATCGAATTCTTGTAGCAATAGAACTAGCGAATCAAGCGTGACTTTGACTCCTTATTTGCTATCAAGTACCTAATTGTTGCATGGTCAGTATAAACATTAACTTTTGATCCAATTAAGTACGACCTAAATTTGTCGAAGGCAAACACTACACCGAGCATTTCCTTTTCCATGACAGTGTAATTAAGTTGTGCACCACTGAGCGTCCTGCTTGCATAGTAAATAGGGTGCATCATCTTGTCTTTTCGTTGCCCTAAGACTGCTCCTATAGCATAATCACTAGCGTCACACATGAGCTCAAATGGTTGCTCCCAGTTGGGTGCAACAATGATGGGTGCAGTCACCAGTATCTTTTTCAACTCCTCAAAGGCCAATCTACAATCATCAAAAAATACAAAGGGCTGGTCTTTTTCAAGCAGCTTACATAAGGGGTTAGCAATCTTGGAAAAATCCTTAATGAACCGCCTATAGAAGCATGCGTGCCCCGGGAAACTTCTCACTGCCTTTACCGAAGTGGGTGGCGGCAGCTTCTCAATCACATCAACCTTGGCTTGGTCAACTTCAATTCCCTTTTTGGACACTCGATGCCCCAACATTATTCCTTCTTGTACCATAAAATGGCACTTCTCCCAATTCAGCACTAGATTTGTCTCCACACATCTTTTGAGCACTCTTCTTAGGTTGTGAAGAGAATATTCGAATGAATCCCCCATCACAGAGAAATCATCCATAAATACCTCCATAATATCTTCAACCATGTCAGTGAAAATGGCTAACATGCACCGCTGGAATGTAGCCGGTGCATTGCAAAGCCTAAAGGGCATTCTCCGAAAGGCAAAGATGCCATACGGACAAGTGAAGGACGTTTCTCTCTATCTTTTGGGGCTATTGAGATCTGGTTATACCCCGAGTATCCATCCAAGAAACAGAAGTGGGATCGCTCAGCTAACCTGTCCAATATCTGGTCGATGAAGGGCAAGGGAAAATGATCCTTCCGGGTGGCGGTGTTCAGTTTTCGATAGTCCATGAAAACCCGCCACCCCGTGACTGTACGAGTTGGGATTAACTCGTTCTTCTCATTCTAGATTACCATCATTCCTCCCTTCTTCGATACACATTGTACAGGACTGACCCAATTGCTATCAGAGATGGGGAAGATGATACCTGCATCTAACCATTTGATCACTTCCTTCTTCACCACCTCTTTCATATTCGGGTTCAGCCTTCATTGATGTTCTCTAGAAGGTTTGTGCCTTTTTCCAGGAGAATCTTCTGCATACAAAAAGCTGGGCTGATACCCTTTATGTCTGCCATGGTCCAACCAATGGCAGTTTTACATTCCTGTAACACTTGTAGGAGTTGCTCTACCTGCATAGCTAGCAAAACAAATGATATAATAATAGGTAAAGTAGAATTAGGCCCTAATAAAGCGTACCTAAGGTGAGCTGGAAGTGGTTTAAGGTCCAACTGTGGTGGCTCCTCTATCGATGGTTTCGCAGGTGGTGTTGTTCTTTCTTCTAAGTGTAGGGGCTTGAACTGAGGTTCCCTTGTCCAGAACCCTTGACCTTCGAGATCCATGACCCATTCTACCAACTCCTCACCATCCACATGTTCCAGATTCATCAAGCAAGCCTCTAATAAATCCCTGACATTAATAGTCTCATCTTCCTCTTGTAATATCATATCTACGGCCTCCACTAGTGAGCAATTTGCAAATTCGTTGGGTCTCCTTATAGATTCTTGAACATTGAATATGATTTCTTCATTGTTTAGCCTCATTTTTAATTCCCCAGTCTCACAATCAATCAATGCTCTCCCAGTGGCTAAAAATGGACTGCACAAAATGATTGGTATCTCTTCATCCACTTGACAGTCAAGAATGACGAAGTCTGCATGGAATACAAATTTCCCCACTTAAACAAGCACATCATCAAGAATTATGGTCGGTCTCTTCATTGTGCGATCGTCCAGTTGCAGCAATATTGAGGTCGGTCTAGCTCTGCCAATGCCCAGTTTTGTATAGATAGCCAAGGGCATTAAGTTTATGTTGGCTCCCAAATCACACAATGCTTTAGCAAAAGCATAACTCCCAATGGTGCATGGGATAGTGAAACTACCTGGATCAGACACCTTTTGAGCCATAGGTCTTATCACAACCGCACTGCAGGTCGGCGTCAGAGTTACAGTGGATAGGTCCTGGAAGTCAAATTTTCTCGAGATCATGTCCTTCATCATATTTGCATAACTTGGAATTTCCCTCAAAGCATCCATCAGTGGAATATTCAATTGAATTTGCCTGAGCATTTCCATGAATTTCCTGTATTGATCATCTTTCTTTTGTTTTGCCAACCTCTGAGGGAATGGTGCAGGAATCAACCTCTGCCCACTACTTTGCGCCTTTTCTTTGCTGGGACCTTTTTCTACTACCTGTTCTAGGAGTTGTTCACCTTCCTTCTCCTTACCCTTGTCAACCTGTGCTTGCTCGATTACAACTACGGTGAGCTCTGCCGACTCATCGGTCTCTAATGTAACTGGGCCAGCTGGAGTAGTTGGCGTTGTCTCTCTCCTAGATTGAGCAACTTCTTGCTCCTTGTCTAGATCTCTCCCATTTCTGAGACTCACTGCCATGAGCTGGTTTGGGTTCTGCTCCTTGGGATTAATGTTTGTATCTGTAGGCAATGTTCCTTGTGGGCGATTGTTTAAGGCCATAGATAGTTGTCCCAATTGAGTTTCAATGCCTTTGATTGCTGAGTCATGTGCAGCTAACTTCTCTTGCGTCTTTCCATTTGTGCCAATGAGTTGTTGAAGCATACCCTTGATTTCGATCATGTTACTATCTTGTTGTTGTTGAGGTGGTTGGTAGGTCAACTGTTGCTAGTGTTGCTAATTATAGACATGTTACCTTTGATAAGGTATGATTTGGCCTTGTTGTCGTGCTCCTCCTGGATTGGGGTTGTGTTGTGGCTGGTTCGGTCTGTACTGCGATTTGCTGTTGGTCCCCATTGCTGCCCACCTTGCCTCTGACCTCCAAAGTTATTAACATAATTCATGTCTTCTATGAATCTCTGGTTGTCATTCTCTCCACTCCACGAGCACATATATGGCTGGTTAATGTAAGGAGTGCACAAGCCTCCATTTGTGGTATCTATAATGTGCACCTGTTTCGTGCCCATCTCATTGAGTTTCTTTGTTAGCAAGCTCATCTGGGTCATAAGAGTGGCTATGTTTTCTGCATGTGTGTTGTTTGGGTCAAGAGCGACAAAGTGCACTATTGGAGTGAGTGTTGTGTCTCTCGTCATCTAGCCTGAATTTTGAGACATCTTGTCAAGAAGAATCTTGCACTCTGTGAAAGTTTTGCTCAAGAATGCACCCCCGGGAAAAACATCTACATTGGCCTTCAGACTGTCAGCCAAACCCATATAGAATCTCTGTCCCAGCATCTGATCCGGAAAGACATGGTGAGGGCACTTCACCAACATGCCCTTAAACCTCTCCCAGGTCTCTTACAAAGTCTTAGTCGGTTTATGCTTGAATTGCAATATCTTATCAATCTGCCTCGCAGTTTTGTTGGGTGGATAAAACTTGTTTAAGAACTGCTTGACTAGTTCCTCCCAAGTAGTAATGAAGTTTATTGGGAGCGAATTCAACCAAGTTTGAGCCTCCCCTGTTACTGAGAATGGGAAAAATAATAATTTGATTGCCTCAGGGGTCACATTCAGTTGTCTTTAAGTGACACAAATTGATAGGAAGTTCTTCAGATGTTGTTATGAGTTTTCGATGTATGACCGGAGAACAACCCTTTATTCTACAACAGGTGCAGCATGTTGTTGGTAATTTGTAATGTCTCCGCTTGTATGGGAAGAACTGCAATTGCTGTGGCCAGGTTATCAGTAGTTGGTTGCGCCCAATCATAAAGAGCAGCTTCTGGCACAAGAGATGCTACCACTCTGATGTTTGGGTCATCTCGATCATTCATATTGTTCCCGTTGATGTTATCTATGTCACTCATTTCAATTTCAATTTTCTTGTTTTGTTTCAGCTGTTTGCTCTTCCTATTAGCCCGGTTCAATGTCCGGAATATTTTCTCGGGATTTGAGAGTCCTTCAAAGAGTTCACCAGTTCTTGAAGAGCTTCTAGGCATGCACCTGAGTTACAGAAGAGTTTAACCGTGAGAATTTCAATGGGAATATTTTATCACCACAGAAATTTGATCTAAACTAATAATCCTAGAAATTCTTCAAAGTTACAATAAATAACACCGTTAGTTCCCCGACAACGACGCCAAAATTTGATTACGACCAACTACGCCTTATAAAAAGGACTAAGCGGTCGCTGCAAATATATAATCCGGTTCAGTCTGGAGTCAAATCCCATATGGAACTAACCTATTTACTACAAATTTTAACACTGCTAATGAATAGCTCAAACAATCCCCGGATGCAAGATTTTTAATGGATAATGAGTAGAATTTAGTGAACTAATGAAAAACAATAATAAAACTAGCAATAATCAAGAGTATAGTTGAATTCAATGGTAGAATGGTCTAGAGTTATTGATTTTCCCAATTGTCGGATTAATTCCTGACGCGTTCGCTTAATCTCGCCGTAATACTCTATAAGAATATGAGTTTTGGGTTACCGCAATTATCTCTCAATCAATTACGATAATTTACTAGAAGCATTCTCTCGAACTACTCTAGTTGCCAACTTATGCAACTCAGAATTATCCCACCAAAGTTTCGTTATCTCTAACCCCGCTTTTAAATTCAAGTAATTAATCTCTTAACTTACCCGAAGGTGGTGTTGTTCAACAATAATCTAACCTAGTGTTCTTTCTCAAGCAACACAAGGTAACTAAACACGATTAATCAAGGGCTCTTTCAATTAATCACAGGACACCACATAGTTGAATAATTATAGAATAAGGAACGACTTAATTATATCAAAAAATAATCAAGACTTCATCCAACAATTGGTTCCATCAACCCTAGATTAAATGTTTAGCTACTCGTGGTAAAACAAGATAAAGCCTTCAAATAATTCATAATTCACAAAATAATGATAACGGGAAGAAGAATGAAAAACTCTAATGGTGTCTTGATCTTCTTACACTTGTTCTTGCCTCTAATTGAGTCTAAAAACAAGGTTAACCTTGACTTGGGCGAGTTTGTTGAGTTTATATAGGGTTAGGATAAGTTTCCTACGCTTTACACTTTAGCCCCTAGACTTTCTCGGCCTTCTCCAGATCAACCGCGATCGTGGGCCAACCGCGGTCAGACCGCTGTCATTTTAGACTATTCTGTTTTGCACCTTTTTCCACCGCGTTCCAGCCACGACCCTATCGCGATCGCGGTGGACTATTGCCCAGTTTTTCTTCGCCTTTTCTTGCTCGTTTTCATCCGGGTCTTCTCGATTGGTCTTTTATCTACATATTTGACCCCAAAACACTCTATATCCTCCTCCTAACTCGGAGTAGCTCCTGCAAAGCATAAAAACCTCAATTAGAGCATTTTATTATCATTTAGCACATAAAACATCAATAAAATATGATTAACTTAGAGCAATAATAGCATCTACGTCGCATAATATAGTCTACT